TTTGTTTATGTTATTGTACAATGTCCCTTCCAAATGGCCCGGAATGCATCATTGTTGCAATTCTTTGCGCGTCTCAAATCGTATTGATATTCATGCAGTCCACAGCCCGATATTCGTATAGAATTTAATGATTACATTTTATAACCAAAAACACTCCAATGCATATTTCGAGTACTAATCACAATTTGTGACAATATGACTCTCACAGCTTGTTGGAATCATATTAAACGGATTTAAATACTTAAAAAAGTGAAAGCATTTTTTTGATCAACTTTTTTAAAGGAATTTTTTATACAATTTATTGCAATTTACAGGATGGCTCCAAATAACTGTCAGTTTTACCCTTGACTAAACAAATTACATGTTTGTCTGGCTAATTCGTGTCAGCTTGGCTGATCAGTCAGCTCAATATATTTTCTGTTTTCTTTCAATTTTGTGAGATTTGTGTTTAAAATATTCACAAATAATTAAATCAAGAAGTAATTTGAACTACATAACCACATTTTTAATTAAACAATCAAGCAAACGCCTTAAAAAACTCACCTTAAATCTATAAATCGGATTATTATGATTTTGACAAGGCGTAACAAACTACGATTATAATCGGATTATTAACTACGATTATTATTAATTATTACTACTATAGTACTCGGAATACGCAAGGCGTTTTTGATTACAGCCACTATCAGAGCTGTGATGCAATCTATTGGCGGCTATTTACATGAATTTATTTATTACCACACATGGATTTATCACATATTTTTTTTATTCGATTCTCTTTTTTATGTTCCGTTCACAGGCAAATCCGCCCTTACTATACAATTAATTCAAAATCATTTCGTTGACGAATATGATCCAACGGTAAGCTTTTCATCTCTTATCTACGTGTAAAATTTTCCATAAAACCAAATTGAAATTTTGTTTTCGTTATTCATGCACGTAATACAGATTGAGGACTCGTATCGTAAACAAGTTGTTATTGGTGAGTTTATAAATCTGTTTTCAAGTATCAACTCTTGAGTATTTCTGAAGAAATGCTCATCAAATCGGCTAATGTTTTTTTCTTCTTGAATTTGTTTTCGCGGATAAATAATTATAATAAAGTACATATCAAATGGTATTAACATCTACATTCTTAGTGTTCAATCGATAAATTATATTCAATTTTTATCAGTTCAAGTACTATCTCTTTTCCGTTTTGATTACAGTGTATTGTTTTCTTTTCGGCGGGGATCAAGTAGAACCCAATATAAATGGGCTTAGTTTGAAGAGAAAAACATCATTAGCCGATTTAAATTCGCTCTACTAATGATAATAACTCAAAATGAATTTGCCTTGAATAATTTGCACAGATGGCGAGACATGCCTG